ATAAACAAAAAGCACAAAAAATTGCGTTTTATTTTGTTTTGTTTCAATAACTCCGAAAATCCTAAAATAATTGTTTCCTTGCCTTGTTTTCTTTTTATTAATTTCTTTTTTTTTGAAAAAAAAATATAATTGTTTCAATCTTTGTTTAGTCTGCTCAATAAAAGAAAAGCCATAAATATTCTTGTCAATTTCTATTTATTTTCAGTTTTTGCATTATTACCATATTTTATAAAATCAGAAAACAACATAAAAAAAAATATTTTTGATTCTTTTTTTTTTAAATATTTCGTCCTAAATAAAAAAAAACAAACTGAAAAATTTGTTTGTTGATTTTGTTTCGAATTTTAAAACCAAAAAAAAAACATAAAAAGCTTTACTTACCTTATTTGTGTTTTACCTAGCCGATATTTTTCTCAATTGGAAACGATTCTGATTTATTTCTTTTTGTCTCTCTTGCAAGGTACAATCAATACCAGAATCCATGGACTATGAAGAAGATGAGAGAAGTGAATTTATCACGCTGAGATTGATTGGGGTGAAGAATCAAACAACTCATGGGAGGAAGGAGAAGATCATGAGAACGCTTCATAGAGTGGCGAAACTGATTCTGAAATCAGTTATGGAGAAGAGCTAGAATGTGAGGAAAAAGAACATGAACCACCAGACTATTCTCGAGCCAACAAAAGCTAATTCAACCCCAACCCGAGTTGGTACGAAGAAGAAACTAACCAGGAAGATGAGTCATGGCGCAATGAACCTGATTCTGAAATCAGTTATGGGGATTAACCAGATCGTAGTAAGGAAGAATCTGAGTTTGGAGGTGACTACGAAGAAGAGGCTAACCAAGAGCGTGAGGATAGAGAACCGTATGAAGACTCACGGATTGAAGATGGAGATTCTCAAAATAGATATGGAGATGAGCAATGGCGTGAGGAAGAAGAAATCATCTATGACGGATATGAAAGAGAATCACAATTTAGCCTAGAAGAAGATTATTTTAGCGATGAGACATACCCCAGAGAACTCAATCATGATGGAGAGACATCCAACGAAGATAAACCATGGTGTGAAGAGACGAATTCTCAAGATAACCTAGAACGCACCAAGCAATATGGTGAAGAAACTTGGCACCATGAGGCTGAATCAGAGGCAAGCTTTGAAGGTGAATCATCTTATGGAGAAGAAGTTCACAAACCAAGGTACATCACCTTTTCATGTCATGGCCATGGGCCTGAAGCGTGTTTGAGATGGGTGAGAGACATGGAAGAATGGTTTTCATCTAACCAAATCTCCGAGGAAGAGAAGACTTGTAACGCTCGTGAACCAAAAAGGGGATTTTTTGGGCATGTGTGTCGATCCACGGAGTAAAATCAGACTGACGGTTTCGGTTTCTGATTTGCCGGTTTGGGGAGCGGTTTAGGGGACACCCTAGGGTTTGTATAAAAGGGCTGAAACAGACGTGTGTTGGTCTCATTTTGGCCGAAAATCAGAGAAAGAGGAGGATTCGAGAGAGAATCAAGAGAAGTTGTGAGTTGTGTGTGATTGAGGGTGAAGGACAGCTTCTGTTCGAGTGTTTGAGAGGGCAAACGGCTGGGCAATTCGAGGAGTTGGGGTGAAACTTTGAGGGTAAGTTCTCCGATCTCTGGTCTCGATATGGGTGAAATCCGTTCATCATTTCGTTGAATATTCGTTGAGTTATGGCTGTTTGGACTCGATAGGGTTGTGCAAACTTGTTGCAGCGATCAGTCGGCTTCGGGAAGGCTTTCCGATCGAACCAGAATGACTTAGGAAACGATCAGCCTATCTGTAGAAAGCTCTCTCTGTCTAGTTTCTAAATCAGGTTTCTGATCCTGATTCTGAGGTATTATCCGTTCTCGGTGTGCTTTCAAAGTCAGTGTGTCGTTCCTGTCTTATGAAATCCTAATTCGGTTTAGGTTATATTTGCAGGAGACGAACGGCTAGGCAAATCAGGTTGGATCGGGGTGAAACTTTGTGGTAAGTTCTCCAATCCTTTTTATTGATGTGGGTGAAAACCGTTCGTCAATGGGTTGAGTATTTAGGGAGTTATGATCGTTTTAACTGGGTAGGTTTCTGCAGTTTTCTGCTGCGATCAATCCACTTAGAGGGAGGATTTCCGTCGAACCAGAAAGAGTCTAGAGACGATCCGCATACCGACGTGTAGCTTGTTCTGTCTAGTTTTCAGAACCATTTTCTGATTCGGATTTGGATAATCCGTTCGTCGTGTGCGGGGCGTTCTTGTAGGCGTCGTGTTCTTCATCTTTTC